CGCGCATATATATATATATATATATATATATATATATATATATATATATATATATATATATATATATATATATATATATATATATATATATAGATATATATATATATATATATATATATATATATATATATATATATATATATATATATATATATATATATATATATATATATATATATATATATATAGGGATTGTGCATGTGTAATTTAAAGTAATTGGATTCACATTTCTTGTGTGTTTTCTCTTTGAATGGTAACCTACGGTTTGAATTGGGTGTTCCAGTTTTGTTGTGATATAATTCAAGTTGCATAGGCATGATTTAGTGTGTGTATAATTCGCCTTCAATTTTGTAGGTGAGAGAAGTTCTCAATCCAATTGTAAAGAAGATGAAATTAGCAGATGTTGTGTTCTGATTTAGGGGCATTTCCGACATTTTACAGATAATCTCATCTTATACCTTCAACTAGGGCTGTGCGTTGGTTGGTTTGGTTAAAAACCAGGCATAAAACCAACCCAACCTATCCAACCAACTTTGGTAAATATTGGAAACCGTTATCGACCCAACTTACATGGGTTGGGTGATGGTTGAAAACCAATTTAATGGGTTGGTTGGTGGTTTGGTTGATGGGTCATCCATCTAAATATTTTTTAATTTTTTTTAATATTTTATTACTTGTTACAACGCTATATCTTTTATAAATTAAATGCGACTAGTTCAATAATATTCAAATAAAAAATTCAAAATATTACGGGCATATATATTGCAATTAAACATAAATAGTTCAACAAATAATAATTGTCCAAATATTTAGACTGTATGTCTTAAAATTAAAATAGTTCAAATTAGATAATTAGGTTAGATTTATTGCTTTTAGGATTTTGGTCAATATTAAACAATTTAATAAATGTGATATGAAATAGAATTTTGAAATTAAAAATTTTAAATATTTTAATTAAAATTAATAAATAATAAATTAATGAATAAAGTTGGTTGGCCGATATTAACCGACTAACCAACTTTTTAGCATATTAGAAACCATTATCGACCCAACTATACATGGGTTGGTTGACATTATCGACCCAACTTAAATGGGTCGGTTGATGGTTGATTAACCATCACAAATTATGGGTCGAAAATGGGTTGGTTGATGGTTAAAACCGATCCATGCACAGCCCTACCTTCAACTAAAGAAAACATCATACTGTTTGTTAGCAATGTTTGTCAGCAAATTATTATTTTTGTGATAGTCCCACAAACCAAAAGTCATGATTAGTATTAAGTTTAATTCCACTTTGTACCCTTGAAATATACCATTTTGACATTTTGCACCCTCCAAACAAATTAATAGTACTTTGCACCCCCAAAACACAATATATCATGCATAATGCACCCCACATGAGTTTTTCATAGGGTTGTGCATGGATCGGTTTAATCACTAACCAATCCATTTTCGACCCATACTTTGTGACGGATAATCAACCATCAACCGACACATTTAAGTTGGGTCGATAATGTCAACCAACCCATGTGTAGTTGGGTCGATAATAGTTTTTAATATGCTAAAAAGTTGGTTAGGGTAATATCGGCCAACCAATTTTATTCATTAATTTATTATTTATTAATTTTATTTAAAGTGTTTAATATATTTAATTTCAAATTTCTATTTTATATCACATTTATTAAATTGTCTAATATTGATCAAAATCCTAAAACCAATAAATTTGACATAATTATATAATTTGAACTATTTTAATTTTAAGACATATAGTCTAAAATATTTGGACGATTATTAATTGTTGAGGACGATTATTAATTGTTGAATAATTTATGTATAATTAAAATACATATGGCCCGTTTTGAATTTTGTTCGAATATTGTTGAACGAGTCATATTTAATTGTAAAAAAAATAGCATCGTAACAACTAATAAAATATTAACAAATATTTTGATGGATGACCGATCAACCAAACCATCAACCGACCCACTAAATTGGTTATCAACCACCACCCAACCCATGTCAATTGGGTCGATAGAGGTTTTCAATATTGGGGAAATTGGCTAGACAACCCTTATTCTGGACTTATATAGGTGGAGATCCTAATTGTTAGATGAATATAGATTTAGGTCCTTTGACAAAATAAAATAATATAAATAAAATAAAATAATTAGTACATTTACATAAAACACCCTTAATTAAAAAGAAAGTAAATCCCATATATCACTCTTCCTTTCTCTCCAATCTCACGTATATCTCTCTCTATATATCTAATATGTCATCTCTCTTTTCCTCTCTATCCCGTATCTCGCTCTCCTTCGTCTCTTTTTTTTTTTCGGACTCTTCTTTTATGTTTTAGTTTTTTTTCCAATAAGCATCTTTTCGACAAGAAATTCTGATGATTTTTTTACTTTCTTCCCTTTTTCGATTCCGATTTCTTTCTTTCTTTTTGAATCCTGCCATAGCTAGAACCTTCAACAAACTATAACAAAATATTTTTCGTTTGTTTTTTGGTTGTGGGACATTTTGCTTTTGTTTGGGAAAATCGTTTGCTATTTTGGAGACCTTGTTTGTTGTTTGTATTTAATTTCTACTTCTCCAGTTATTACGATGGAAGGCAATTCAGGAGATTCTCGCCTCGATCTTGGGTGGTGTTTCTACGAGATTTTGATGCACCTTTTCACCGGCGTTCGAAATCCACCTTCTGCTTCGTCCCAACAATATCTTCGTCTCGGTCCCTACCATCCTCGCCGAGGGCTTTGACGGGTTGCACTCAATTGATTGGGTTCATTGTGGCGATGGCGGCCATAGGATTTCTGACGGAGTTAGGACTGGCGGCAAGGGATTTGGGTGAGTATCTCGAGTTTTTTGTTCGTTGTTTTTATTTTGCATTTTGCAATTCATGTTACATATTGTTTCTCGTTTTGAATTTTTTCCTCAGTTTGATGTTTGCATTTGGAGAAGTCATAGGTAATATTTTTTTAGTAACTCAATAATGCAAATTCTGGATTATTTTTTTTCCAATTTGCTGTTTTTCGGCTGAATCATTGGTATTTTGTTGTTTGCAATTCTATAATACAAATTATAATATTAAGTTTGCTATTTGCAGTTCACGAAGTCATAAGCGTCATTTGCTATTTGCAGTTCACAGAGTCATAGGCGTCAGTTTGCTATTTGCAGTTCACGATAGACGGTGGTACGGCGGTGGTGTCATTTTTAGAGTATGAATTTGTACAATATATAGTATATTTTTTTTTTACTAATTTCTTTATTTTTTTTATTATATTTTGCAAGAGAGATGTTTGGGAATTTGTTTTGATAGAGATATTTTTAAGAGATTTGATTTGATTTGGCTAAGGGTATTTTTGACACAATAAATATTATTAATTTATTAAAATATGGAAATTTTGACTTGGATTTATACACATAAATTATAAGATAGAGGGACCGATAGCAAATTGCCCCTTCAATATTTACCAAAGTTGGTTGGATGGGTTGGGTTAGTTTTATTGTTGGTTTTTAACCAACCCAACCAACGCACAACCTAGTTTTTAAAGCTAATAAAGGTAATTTAATTTTTTTAGTGGTTTTAAAAATTATATTTTTTTTATCGCAAAAAATATTTTACGAAAAAAAAAAATCATTCAGCTATTTTGTTATCAAGTTATCTGAAAAACATATTTTCTTCAAAATATTTATATCTAATATTTTCACCGATTACAATAAAAGATCTATCAATCGAAAGATTTAGTAAATTTATTTGATTTTATTTTGTAAGAAAATATAATATTTTTTGCAATTATCCGGTGTGATTTTTATTTTTGTGCACTTTGTGCGCTTGAAATTAGATTGGAGGTTGAAGTAAATAACAATTTAATTTGTTATTTTGCACACGAAAAAAAAAAAAGAACTAATAAAAAATGAATTATTATTTATTATTCAATTAAGCGTGCATTGTGAATAATTTATTATGTTTTGAGGCTGCAAAGTACTATTATTGTTTTACAATGGTGCAAAGTGCCAAAAAATTCAATTGTAAGGTTGCAAAGTGAGACTAATCAACTTTTTTATCCCAAACACAGAGTAGGTTGTCTTTACCCATGGGTTAAAGATCTTGGGTTCGAATCCCCCGCCCCTACCTACTTCCCTTCGTTAGGTTTGTGGGTAACCGGGTAAACCGACAACCCGTACCCGTTGAATTAAACCCGATGTATACGGATCCTCCTTCCTGAAAATGAAATGAAATTGTGGAAGACAGAAGCGCCACAACAAACAGTCACACACCACACTCTCTCTCCCCCACCTTCAGAAAAACAAATAACTCAGTTATCCGGCGTAATCAATCAATCAATCGATCGCGGGCAAATACTGAATAATGGGACTGGGTCAACTCGCTTCTCGGGCCCTTTGGCGATCCACTCGGCACGCGCGGCGGCCCCTCCTCCGCCGCTCTATCGTCTCCACGCCGGAGCTCCACAACTCCGAAGCAGCCGCCGCGGTGGCCCAGCCCGAACCAGATCTCCCGAAGCGGACACCTGTAGCCGGCGCCCGGGTCCACTTCCCCAACCCGGACGACGCCATCGAGGTGTTCGTCGACGGGTACCCGGTCAAAATCCCGAAAGGAATGACGGTGCTTCAGGCGTGCGAGATCGCCGGCGTTGATATCCCGAGGTTCTGCTACCACAACCGCCTCTCTATCGCCGGAAACTGCCGCATGTGCCTTGTCGAGGTCGAGAAATCGCCCAAGCCCGTCGCTTCTTGCGCCATGCCAGCTCTCCCTGGTATGTAAATTGTAATGTTCTAATTTTTTATTAATTAATTTTATTGTGGGAATGTGTTATTTGGCTTGTTTGGTAAATGTTGATGCTGAATTTTGGGCATTTCTTGGTTTTGAGTTATATGAAATTGAATAAGGATATTAGATCTTCGTCTTCTTAGTTTAGTGGTGAAGTCTTGGTCTTTTACGAAATGATTTGTCTCGGTATGCACAACACTAATCTCGTCTTAATTACGTTATTAAAAGACGAGGCAATCACCATACTTATCGTTTTAGCAGTGTCTGTAGTATATCACTATTTCGTTTAACATGTGTGTCTTTTCGATTGTCTGCCGTACGCTCGATCTTTGTAGTTTCTGTTCATTAATCATATGCTCGATTATCATAATACCTTCATTCTCCGATTATATTTCGAACGCTTTCGGTTTTCTTTTTGACATTTTGTTTTCCAATATCTGCTGCCCATAGGAATGAAAATCAAGACCGATACACCGATTGCAAAGAAGGCAAGAGAAGGTGTGATGGAGTTTCTTTTAATGAATCATCCACTCGACTGCCCGATTTGTGATCAGGGTGGAGAATGTGATCTACAAGATCAGTCTATGGCTTTTGGTTCGGATCGAGGCCGTTTTACTGAAATGAAGAGATCTGTGGTCGATAAGAACTTAGGCCCTTTGGTCAAGACTGTGATGACTCGATGTATTCAGTGTACAAGGTGCGCATATTTATTTTTAACCTTATTATCTCGTCAAGTTTCCGTTTATATTACCAAATGTTTCAGTATAAACCTGAAGTAAATGACTTTGAATTGGTTACTGCATCACATCTATTTGAACCAGTCGACAAATATATAAGTTAAATAGTTCTCGACTGATGATTGATTATAATTGTTAACTTGAATCTAGAAACCTTAATAAAGGGTTGGATGTAAGAGGTTTATGATGTCTGAAAATGATAGTATCTTAGTTCTTTAGATACTTTCAGTATTGGTCCTAGACGAAGAATACCTTGATCTACTGTAATTGAAATTAAAAGGAGGTTTTGGACTATCCAAAATCCGATTTGATTGATTCTTTGGTGCTGCTACCTGTCTGTAAGGGTGGAAATCGGACGGACTGGAATTAGCACTTCCGGGAAAAGAATCGATTTTTTTCGGAAGTGGAAAGCTAATTCCAATTCCGTTCCAAATTGTTTTTTGAAACAATCGGAATTTCGGAAATTAGAATAAAAGAACTAGTTCAAAAAAAAAAAAAAAATTGGATCGAGTCTGCGGACTTCGGAAAATTCAAGTGTTTGGTAACCTAAAATATAAAATACATACTAATTGTAATATTATAGGTGTATTCTTCGGGGGAAAAATTCGGACTTTTTGGAATTATTTTCATAAATTAAAATCTGGTCGGAAATCGGACAAAAACAAAATCAAAAAAATCAGAATTTCCGAATTCGGTATGAAAAATATTGTTCCGAAATCTGAAAATTTCAGAAATCGAAATAGCAGAAAAAAAAATTATGTTCCAGCTTCCACCCTTACCCGACTTTCTACTTACGAATTATTCTACTCAGGCGTATGTGGGTTATTTATTGAACAAGAATGGAAGAAAGTTTTGATCTTCATTTTACTCTGAATAGGTGTGTGAGGTTTGCAACAGAAATAGCTGGAGTACAAGATCTCGGCGTTTTGGGCCGTGGAAGTGGAGAGGAAATCGGAACTTATGTCGAAAAACTAATGTCAAGTGAATTATCGGGCAATGTGATAGATATTTGTCCTGTTGGTGCACTAACCTCAAAACCCTTTGCTTTCAAAGCTCGTAATTGGGAGCTAAAGGGAACAGAGAGCATCGATGTGACAGATGCGGTCGGTTCGAATATACGTATTGATAGTAGAGGTCCCGAGGTCATGCGGATTTTGCCACGTTTGAACGAGGTAATTTTACCTAATTACCCTTGTCCAATTTAGATACAAGTAAGGGATTGTCTGCAAATATATAAATCAAAATTACTAGAGTTTATTGCATTTAGGACCCCTTGTGTTATATTGCTTGCAAAAAAACTCCCGTGTTATAAATAATTAGCTATAACACCCCCCTATGATGCATTTTTTTAGCATACAACCCCGTATGGTGAGATTTTAGGGTGTAGTTTGCTTAGAAGAACCGAATCATAGGGGTAGGTTGCTAATATTTAATAAATAATACAAGGAGTTCATCAAGAATTAGTAAACCCAAAATTACTATAACCAACGCCACATTTGCTTTAAAATTTCCCTTCAAATTTAAGTGTGAATGTTTTTTGGTACATATAATATATTTGCAGGACATAAATGAAGAATGGATATCAGACAAGACACGTTTCTTCTACGATGGTTTGAAGAGGCAAAGGCTAAACGATCCCATGATTCGTGGTCCAGATGGACGGTTCAAGGTGGTGAGCTGGCGTGACGCACTTGCAGTGGTCGCTGATGTCATCCACAAAGTCAAACCTGAGGAAATTGTCGGAGTTGCTGGTAAATTGTCTGACGCAGAATCCATGATTGCATTAAAGGATTTCTTGAACAAAATGGGATCGAACAATATTTGGTGCGAAGGAAACGGCCCAAATCCAAATGCTGACTTGCGTTCTGGATACATTATGAACACGAGCATCAGTGGTTTGGAAAAAGCCGACGCTTTCCTTTTAGTCGGTACACAGGTAATTTTATTATTGCTCGCATTCATGATTTTCGAAACACCCCTCTACGATAAAATTTTGATTTTGCAAACTACCCTTCAAAATCCACGTTTAGTTTTATTATTTTTTCGACAATCATCTAATTGTTATTATATTTCGAAAATTGTCAGCCAAGGGTAGAGGCAGCCATGGTGAACGCCAGAATCCACAAAACCGTGCGAGCAACCAACGCCAAGGTCGGCTACGTGGGCCCCACCGCCGACTTCAACTACGACAACGACCACCTCGGCGCAGGCCCCGAAACCCTAATTGAGCTCGCTGGGGGCCGCCACCCCTTCTGCTCCACGCTCTCAAACTCCAAGAACCCCGCCATAATCGTAGGCGCCGGAATATTCCAACGCAAGGACAAAGACGTAATTTTCTCCCTCGTCGAAAAAATTGCGAAGAACGCAAATGCGGTTCGGCCCGACTGGAACGGGCTCAACGTATTGCTCCACAACGCCTCCCAAGCCGCAGCTCTGGACCTAGGCTTGGTGCCCGAAGCTGAAAACAGCATCGGAAAAGCGAAATTCGTTTATTTAATGGGAGCTGATGACGTGGACTTGGACGAACTTTCGGACGATGCGTTTGTGGTTTACCAAGGCCACCATGGCGATAAAGGAGTGTACCGTGCGAATGTGATTTTGCCAGCTTCGGCTTTTAGTGAGAAAGAAGGCACGTACGAGAATACAGAAGGGTGTGCGCAGACTACAGTTCCTGCAGTCCCTACAGTTGGTGACTCGAGAGATGATTGGAAGATTATCCGGGCCTTGTCTGAGGTGGCGGGTGCTCCAGTTCCCTACGATACAGTTGCTGCAGTTAGATCACGGATTAGCACCGTGGCGCCGAATCTTTTGAACGTCGACGAGAGAGTGGGGGCCACATTTTCGAGTTCTTTGTTGAGGCCTGAGGTCGACGAGAAGCAGCTTGATAAGGCCCCGTTTGGAGTTGCGGTTGAAAATTTCTATATGACGGATGCGATTACGAGGGCTTCGAAGATCATGGCGCAGTGCAGTGCCTTGTTGTCCAAGAAATAATAACTGCGATTTTTTTTTTTTTTTTTTTTTTTTTTTCGGGTTTTGAATAAGTTGGTGTTTTATTTTACTTGAGGTTTTGATAGGATTTTCATTATATTTGAGGGGTGGAGGGACAAAAGGTTGTCCCTAGTAAAGCAGTGGCCATAGTATTGTGCTTATTAATGGCAGGGTAAATTTCAATCTATGGATGTGTATCTTTTTTTGTAATTTATAATTGATAATTGATTATGTTGTGATATAAAATGTCTGCCTTGGTATTTGCTTATATGCATTATTTTTGAGGGGTTTGTTCTATACTATATAGTATACATGTGTCTGATTATAGGTAAATCAAAGGTGGAAAATTACTCGGTGTATTTTATCGGGTTTAGCATCTACAACCGGAGCATGGGCACTTTGTATTGGTTTAAAGGTGGCTGCTGATATAGATATAACTCAACTCATCATCGAAACTGACTCATGTGTTTCTTCTGTCTTGCATCGACGGGAAAGGAAACTCTTCACAACTCCCTCTAAACTCTTGTCGAGGGTTTGTAGAGGATGTTGACTAGGTTCGATCAAGTCCAAATGGTGTTTTCGTATAGGGAACTGAATAGTGTGGCAGACGTTTTAGTTAAAAGAGGAACTATTATGTAACCGAACAAACTTTTATTTTTTGAAACTTGTCTTGAATTTATTTTGGATATGTTGTATAAAGACCAATGTTTTGAAAATCGAACCGGGCATTGACCCGAACAAGCTAGTGGGTCACGGTTGGACCGGTTCAACCGGCTTTTTCATTTTTTTATTTTTTAATAATTATTTATAGATAATTTTATAGTAAATAAAGCATATTTTCTTTGACAAACATTAACTCATTACTCATTATCAGTGTTCTAAAAATCGGTTTGAAAAATCGGTCAAACCTGTGAGGCGGTTTTAGGCGGTCTGAGGCGGTCAAACCTTTAAGGCGGGTCAAACTCGGTGACAAAAATGGGTCAAAATCGGTTAAAATCGGGTTTTTTTTTTCTTTTTATAATTCAAAATAAAAGTTGGATTTTGATAAAAGAAAATATTAGTTTATGCCTTATTTTGTTTATGTTAATTGTTATTGTTAAAGAACTAATGATATATGCCAAGAATGTTCAAGAATAAATGTAAATTCAAAAAAATTGTTTTTTTATTTATATTTTATAAGGATATTTATGTATTATGATCTTATAATTATAAAACTTTTATTATGTTATTAGGATATATACATGATGGTGGAGATATAACTATGTTTAAATATCTTTTTATATATATTTGGAGTATTTATAAATAATATTTAGAAATATATTATATTAAATTTTAAAAACCGATTTATTTCCGATTTATCACCGATTAATCACCGCCGCACCGATTAATCGTGAGTCGGTGTCTGACCGACTCGGACCCAATTACCGATTAACCTTGCTCATTACTCATTTCCAATTAAAAGGTAAATTAAATTTAATTTTCAAATAATATCGACATACACATATCACAACGAATCATTTCAAATAATAAAAAAATTGTAATAAAGTTAACATGTATTCCCATTTCAATTTTTTTAATTTTGATTTAACAATTTTTTCAACTGGGAAATAAAAGACGTCGTTCAACAATTTTATCTGTTTACTTTTTATATATAAAAAACACAATATTGGGCAAAAAATCCCGATTTTCACTCGAATTCTAATATTACAGACGGTCAAACCGGACCGAACAAAGCATTGTTTAGCGGTTTAACCGGTTCAACCGGCCGGTCCGGCCGGGTTTAAAAAAATTGATAAAGACTTATCCTTTGTATTTTTCCGTTGTACATTCAAACAGATACAAACCCCCAACCTATCATTAAAAACCCCTATGGGAGAAACTCCGGTAAGATTAGGCTTAGCCTTACCGGCTAACTTGAAAATTTCAAAAAATACATATGCAAAGAAATTAAGAAAAAGGAAAATTAATTTAACAATTGTTATCGAACAAAAATCGAATTAACGTAACTATAATAATCCACATATAGGTGTATAAGAATTAGTTAGTTATGTTGCTTAGATTTTGAATTTTATTATGTTCAAGTCTTCAAATTATTTTATTTGCTCATTCATATATTTTTTTATCAACAATAAGCACATATATTTTTTTCATTTGTTTAATGTAATTCAATCATGAAATATCTCTGTTTTTTATAATCAATTAAAAACTGATGTTCTTTTTATTAATTAAAGTTAAAAGAATCACACGTTATATATTGTATATATCTTTATATAAAAAAATAAGAAACGTTAGAGCAATTTAAGAAACTCTAATTGCATTTTTTTTATTCCATCTCCTCATTTTCAATATTTTTTTTTACTTTTATAGCAAATCAAATTTGGGGTAACAAAACTTAACATTTTTAATGCTATTTTGATAATTTAAATTTCACAATTAATTATTTTAATATAACTTAATTATCATATATTTAAATTTTATTTAATGCTACTCGTGCACGGAGAAAATTGCTAGTAAATATATGTAAGTTATAACTATTCCTTGCATAAAGCAACACTTTTTAATTATTAATGTTTTCTTTTTCCTTTTTTTTGTTTTGGTGAAAACACTCTTTGAATTATTGAGTAGCAACGAAATTTCAAATTAGACCCCTACATGGATAAATTATTGGACCTTGAGACCATTTGACAGGAGTCAGATAACTGTTATGACATTATAGAACGGGGAACTCTACATGCTTAAATTTTGGCAACCTATAAATGAATTAAAAAAGTAAAAAGAAAAAAAAAAAATTTATTTGACAACCTTGTACCAAAAAAGCCGAAACGGCGAAACCCCTCTCATTGACTCGACAAGTATTTGATGGAGCAATGTAAATAACGGTGACTCGACGTGGGTCCGTTAGGGAAGCGGACTCGAACCTGATCCCCACAAGGAATCAACTCTCACTGGAGTTGAAATTCTCATATTGCGACTGCCAGAATTCGATCCTAGAACGCTATACCAACTTATCATCCCAAAACCAGTTGAGTTATATCCATACAGGATTATTTAACATCCTAATCATATGAAGAAATAATCAACAAGGACTTGTATATATCTATGCACGCATGTTATACTTTTTCATGTACCCTTGTTATCATTTTGTTGGCAATTTTTTTATATTGCTTCTCTTTTATAAATGCATAATTTGCACTATATTTTCCTATTTCTCGACATGGGTTGTTGCTCGTTTCTCAGTCCTTTTCTACTAAATTTATTTGGTTTTGTTGTTTTTAGTATTTTTATAGATTTATATGCTTAAACGGATGAATCTCGGGTAAATATTGCAAATTAGGAAATAAAATCAAGCTCGGAAGAATAAATCCCACAAAAAAATTGATAGTGTTCAAAATTTTATTTCATCTCTCATCCGAATTTCAAATAAAATGATTTGCACCAGCAATGGGAATCTATGTTAAAGAGTTACGAATCTTATCTCTTTCAATTTTTTGAAATTCAGACTATAACATAGTCAGAATCAGACCACAGTCACCAAACTCATGATCCGAATCAACTCATTTATACTTCTATGCAGACTTGAGGGTGTATATGTAATTTACCCAATAATGTAATAAGTTTGAAAAATCAGATTGCTATCAATTAAGGCGCGCTTTCATTAAAGCTAGAGCTATAGCTTGACAAGTTGTTCTTATCATGATTGGATTTGAGTTATTGATATTTTCTTTAATCTTCGATAATGATTGGATTGAGTTATTGATATTTTATTTAATATTCAATAATGATTGGATTTGAGTTCCAAATTATTTTCAAACACAAATTATAAAAATTTAGTATTGCATCCTAATTAAGATAAGCTTTAATAAAAGTCAAGGTACAAATTAGATAGATATTTTATTATGAATACTTTAAGGTGGTCCATGCAAAAACAAGCGTGGGCATGCACTCAATTAATGCTAAGAAGATGATTTCGGCGTTAAGGGCTGATGCTGATTTCACATTAAAAGCAATAGCCACGTAGCATAACACTTTCAATTTCTTAATCTATCTGTATTCGTGTATTGGACATATTTTGTGTCCGACACTTGAGTACACCTACCGGCCATTTTGTAATTTCCCAAAAGTTAGACATGTTTGAATAGAGATTTGATTTCTCCTCCGGACACCTTCCGCGCCGTGGACGTGTCATTTTCCTCTTGGTATCACAACATCGATTTGATTTCTCCTCCGTCGCGTGCAACCGCCACTTTCACCCGTCTCATCAGATTCTTGTACAGCTCCACCTGCGAAAAAATACCGTCGCCATAGTTTCCGCTGCGGACTTTCAAAAGTTGCTCGTGATTTAGGTCATGGTGGTGGTAGGGGGAAGTGGAACGAGATTGGTGAATCTGGACGATTTTTTAGATCTAGAGAAAGAGGGAGAACGAGAAGAGATAATGACTAGGGTTAAGAGCAGTTATAATCAAATAAGGGCAATATTGGTATTATGCTACTATTAATATGTCAAACTATTAACTAAAGGGGTTTTCTCTAATTATTTTTTAGAGAGAGATTTTTCTTAGCTACATTTCCTAGATGAGGCGGGTCTTGCTAATTTTCCCTACTATTATATATATTGACAGTAAGGTGATAAGATTTTTGTCTAAAGTAATGTGTATTGTCACTCACAAGTCGTAGGATCATTATTTCTTGTCTAAAGTAATTTTGGAAGAAAGATATATTGTGTAACGAGCTGAGGACCTAGGGAACCCTCTGACGAGCTGAAGACTAAGAGAGCCCTCTGACGAGCTGTTCTATCTGATGAGCTAAGCCCTCTAACGAGTTGAAGACCTAGAGAGCTCTCTGACGAACAGTGCTCTCCGACGAGTTGTAATCTCAGACGAGCTAAAGACCTAGAGAGCCCTCTAACGAGCTGATGAACTGTACACAAAAAAACAGTTGTACTTTAACCACTTTGACCATAGAGTTTCATATCCATCTTATATATATATATATGTGTGATTCATCTTAAACAGGAGGTACCATGACTATACTCTCATATTTTATCTCTACACTATTTGTCTATGAATCTTGGTGGTATTCTAATTTGAGGATCGGAGCGCTAATGCTAGGGCACTCCTCCCAGCTCACTTTGTAGGTCCACAACATACAGACCCAAGGTGGAAAGACTTTAAAGATGTCTAGATTCATGGGATAGTCCAAAAGGACTACATCAACTTTAATGGTCTCTAGATTCGATCATATTTCATATTACTCAGGCTAGGAGTGTAA